ACAGTTTACACTCATCTACAGGCCAGCACTACAGTTTACACTCATCTACAGGCCAACAGTACAGTTTACACTCATCTATAGGTTAGTGCTCACTCTTTCAGGGATGAAAATGTTCTCATCCTTGACAGAGAGGAACAGTTGGTTTGAAAGAGGAGTACGGACAGATATTTTTGTGAAGAAACGTTTCATTAAAGAAGAACTCYTCCAGAGGACCTGTTAAATTATTTTAGTCACTGAGAAGTGGTTAAAACTGAGTGGAAGATTTTAAATATACAGTTGTGAGCAGATAGGATCTTCTGCATGTGCTGCTGATGAATCAATTTTATGCTTATATGACTATTTTGTAACAGATGGTTCCATGCATGATGTAGTAATCAAATTTACTTATCAGGAAGCGGTATTYAAAAAAATTGAGTGGTTATTTGAGTTTTTAAAAGTTGTCAAATTACATGAAAACAGGTCCTTTATTAATTTCAGTTTGCTGCTGATTTTGATGTTTTTTATAGTAAAAATCAGAAGGAAACCAAACAATTTCAAAATGTCTTCTCATGTTATTTGATGTCTTCCTGATGATAAAATCCAAACACTAAAATGTGTAGACTCAAATACAAAGTGATTTGCATAAAGACTCGTTGAGCATTTATAATCTGGTGGCGACATACCTTAAAAATAGTTTGTTTGACAACAGCTTTGTTCAATACAGTACAGTTCTAACAACTGAGATGTTTTCTGTGCACTAGTCCGTCTTCTCAMTGATCCGTCCCATTTTGGTGCGCATGTTTCGCACAAGGAAGAACCCCACAGTGGTAATGCCCATTATCACCTCAGCCATCCAAAAGGCCATGTCCCAGCTGTGCTGCTTGGCAACAGTACTGAAGGGAAGTCCTGCCATGAAGGCTCCCACTGTGACAAACATAAAGCTCTGTCATGAAACAGCATACACTTTACAGAACAACTCTTTTTTTAAGGACCTGCTGCTCACCATTCGCCATCAAAGCTACAACTGCATGAGACGTTCCACAAAAATTTGACGGAGCACATTCACTTGCTATAACTCCAAACAAGGCAATTGGTCCATAAGAAGAAAATCCAAACATGGCACCAAGGAACAGAATCCATATCTGTCAACAACAACAATTTTATATACGTGATTTGAAAYGAATTACAGGAATTTACAGAACTTCAAATGTTTTTTGTGTGTACCTCTTTCTCTGACACATGGAGGAGAACGGACACTGGATGCAGAACTTGGACCCAAAGAGGAGCCTCCTGAGCAAAGAGACAAACACAGAGTTTTCAGGAATGCAACAAGTAACTTTAAACATTTTATACAATAATGACAGGTAATGTAATTAATTGAAGAAATGTATTTGCCCACCACCTTTCATTCAAGAGTTAGGAACTAAAATCCTCTTATAATGATAAGGGACAGAGTTAAGGCTCCCACATCCTGGGGTGTACTGTGTACAGTCCAGTAGCAGTGCAGACTCCATGCATAATGTCCGCGGACAGTTGAGACTTCACACTCAAGCGTACTGATCACCTGACATTTCCCACAACTTCAGTCATGGCATCACTGGACGAGGAGGGAGAGACAGTTTGTATTTAGCTTTAAAATAACAGAAAAGAACTTACCGGTACCTTACCCAGGGTCTGCACTATTTCCTCCCATGACTTTTTTCTTTCTGAAGTCCTTATATTCCCTCATTGATGCATCATATAGTTTCCATGCTTTATATTCTCCTCTGTGAGACGCTATTCAAAATTTGTCTCCATTTTGTCCACAAATAACACGAGTTCTCAACTTTATCTCTTTGGTGTTGAATCTAAAACAGTTTGATGTGAACTCGTCAGGTAGTTTATTGTGTGACACCAAAGACGTGGACATAAAAAACAAACCTCTATGTGGACCTGTCCGGTGGACGTCCGCTTCGAGTTCGCTTTGAGTCTGCCACAAGTGAAGTACGCCCCAGTATGTGGGGCCTTTACAGCATAAACCACAAGATGCAGTCGGTCTATGTTGGTAGTTCCTCCTAATAAACAATGTAAAATGCTCATTTACTTAGATCGCAATGTATTTCTTCTGAGTTTTTGAACTATTTTGACAACTTTAAATGGAATTTAAAATGGGTTTTAGTGATTCAATCTCAGTTTTTTACTTATTTACGGTTACACGTTAGCTATGTTCACATGCACAATTTTTTTAATACATACATTCAGATTAAATAATCTGGTWWACAAAGTATGTGACTGGGAAGTATCCCCAGAGGAAACTATGCCAGACCATCGACGTATTCAGTTTAAGCTGAAGATGGGGAAACCACACCCAGTCACATACAGAAACCCAAAAAACTCTGACTGGAATCTGTTTACCAGCAGTTTAACCCAGTTGATGGGTGGGAGAATTGCCAGGATCAAAACTGTGCAGGACATTGAGACAGGTCACAAGCATGACTGATGCTGTGCAAACTGCCTATAAGTCTGCCTGTCCGGAGAAAATCTGGAGGTRGTCAAAGCAGCCGGCCTGGTGGACTCCAGAGTTGTCTGGCCTCCGCAGTAAGATGTAAATGGCGAAGATACAGGTCCCAACCAAGTAAAACCAGGTGGGAACAGTATGTACAGTCCCGCAATCACTATAAAAGTGTTTTCAGGGAATGTAAGAGACTTTCTTGGACAAAGTTTTGTGAAGACATTAAGTGCCTCTTCTAGCTTTCCAAACTTCTCAGAAAAGATCCAGTCAACTATCTATCCTTCATTATTTCCACCAGAAGGATCGACAGTCACACAGACAAGTGTGCTTCAGCATCTCCTCCAGGTACACTGTCCTGGGCCAGAAGAGACTGAACAGCCTGTCACAACTGCTAACTCAGATCCATCAGAGGGTAACTGGAACAGAGCTGCAAGTTTTATTACTAAAGGCAAAGTAAAATGGGCAATTAATATGTTTGACCCATCCAAAGCTTGTGGTCCAGATGGTGTTTTTCCAGCTCTTCTCCAAACAGGACTGGAACTAGTGATGTTCAATACTGCCAAATTTCTTTCCAATACTGATACCAAGTAAAATGTCYGCGATACTGATACTTTGTGATAACACACATAATGTGTCTGGTAAATCTTAAAAATTAGTGTTTTTCAAATAACTGCTTTATACATAATACATGACCAGAGGCGACTGCAAGGGAAGCTCAGCTTCCCCTAAAATGTAAAAAAAAAAAAAAAGTGATCAAATATACACTGTTGTGTGTTCATGTCATTGACTAAATATACGCCACAACGCACTCAACTTTTGTTCAGAATCAGCTTCTTATCACTGGTAACGACGCAGCTTTCCTCTCCCTCATTCCTGCAGCTTCACAGAGCTTTAAACAGTCGGACGCTGAGCGTCCACAGACTTCAATAGTGAGGCAAAAAAAATGTAGCAAATTGAGACGAGTCATTGGATAAATGCTGGCTTTGTCCCGCCCCCGGACGCTCAGCATCTCTGGGGG